TTTTTGTATTTCTGTGGGATAGGTATTAATGTCACCTTTGTTATTTCTGATCTATTTGGATCTTTTTTTTCCTTTCTTAGTCTAGATAATGGTCCATCAATCTTATTTATTTCTTCAAATAACCAGTTCATGGATTTGCTTTAATTTTGTATGGATTTCCATGTCTCCATTTCATTCATTAAGCTGTGATTTTGGTTATTTCTGGTCTTCTGCTAGCTTTGTGGTTGGTTTACTGTTTTTCTAGTTCCTCTAGTTGTGATGTTTTGTTGTTAATTTGAGATCTTTCCAACTTTTCAATGTGGGTGTTTAGCACTATAAATTTTCTGCTTAATATTGTGTTAGCTGTGTCCCAGAGAGTCTGCTATGTTGTATTTATTTCTCATTAGTTCTAAGAAAATTTTTAATTTCTCCTTAATTTCATTGTTTACCCAAAAGTCATTCAGGAGCAAGTTGTTTAATTTCCATTTAATTACATGGTTTTGAGCAACCTCCTTAGTATTGATTTCAATTTTTATTGTGCTGTGGTATGAAGGTATTTTTTTTTAATTTGCTGATCATTTTTCTATGGCCAGTTTCGTGGTCAGTTTTAGAGTATGTGCCATGTGCAGATGAGAGGGATGTATACTCTGATGTTTGGGAGTAGAGAGTTCTGTATATGTCTGTTAAGTCCATTTGATCAGGTTTTGACTTTAGGTCCTGAATATCTTTGTTAGTTTTCTGCCTGAGTGGTCTGTCTGATAATGTCAGTGGGATGTTAATGTCTCCCACTATTAGTGTGTTTATCTAAGTCTCTTTGTAGGTCTCAACTTGTTTTATAAAACTGGGTGCTGCTGCTTTGGGTACATATGCCAAGGCTTATCTCTGTACTCCTGGGCTGTAGGGTGTAACTCTAGGGACTGGTATTGGGCCCCAGGTTTGTTCTCTGGCTCCTGAAGATTAGGACCCTGCTGTGGTGAGGGGACTGATGTGTTCCTGGTCTGTGGGCCACAGCATTCCTACTGGGGATGCTGCCAAAAGCACTTCATTGGGGCCAGGGTGGTGGGATGCACTTGTACTAGCAGTGGTGGTGTGGTAGGGTGCACACAGACACTAATGCCAGCAGGGGAGGAGAGGGGAGGTCAGTCTGCACACATGCCCTGGCTAAATTCTCCTAGAGGAACATTGCAAGCCTTGGAGTGTGGACATCCCAAGTTGTGTTCAACTGTGGCGGTTCCCATGTCAAACCCCTCTGGGCTCTACACAGCTTGGAGTCCTGCCCCTGCTTCCTCTCTAAGCGGCTCTCCCTGACAGCATTAGCTTATTTAATCCCCACAATGTGATTCTCTGAGTTAAATACAATTGTTTTCTCTATTTTACATATGATTAAACTGAGCTACACAGCAATTAGGGAAATTGTCCATGGTCTCAGGTAGTAAGTGCCAGTTCTGGAGTTTGAACTAGGGAGACCTTAGAATTTGTGCTCTTTTGGGGTTGTTCTTCTTGAGGAGTATCTTTGTGGTGTTCTCGGTATTTTCTGAATTTGAATGTTGGTCTATCTTGCTAGATTGGGGAGGTTCTCCTGGATAATATCCTGAAGTGTGTTTTCCAACTTGGTTTCATTCTTCCTGTCACTTTCCGATACACCAATCAAATATACGTTTGGTCTTTTCACATAGTCCCATATTTCTTGGAGGCTTTGTTCATTCCTTTTCATTGTTTTTTCTCTAATCTTGTCTTCATGCTTTCTTTCATTAAGTTAATCTTCAATCTCTAATATCCTTTCTTCTGCTTGATGGATTTGGCTATTGATATTTGTGTATGCTTCACAAAGTTCGCATGCTGTGTTTTTCAGTCCCATCAGGTCATTTATGTTCTTCGCTAAACTGGTTACTGTAGTTAGCAATTCCTCTACCCTTTTATCAAGGTTCTTAGCTTCCTTGCATTGGGTTAGAACATGCTCCTTTAGCTCAGAGGAGTTTGTTACTACCCACCTTCTGAAGCCTACTTCTGTCAATTCATCAAATTCATTCTCCATCCAGTTTTGTTCTCTTGCTGGTGAGGAGTCGTGATCCTTTGGAGAAGAAGAGGTGTTCTGGTTTTTGGAATTTTCAGTCTTTTTGTACTATTTTTTCCCTCATCCTTGTGGATTTATCTACCTTTGGTCTTTGATGTTGGTGACATTTCGATGGAGTTTTTGTCTGGTCATCCTTTTTGTTGATCTTGATGCTATTGCTTTCTGTTTGTTAGTTTTCCTTCTAACAGTCAGGCCTCTCTTCTGTATGTCTGATGGAGATTTCTGGGAGTCCACCCCAGATCCTGTTTGCCTGGGTATCAACCAGCAGAGATTGCAGAACAGCAAAGATTGCCACTTGCTCCTTCCTCTGGAAGCTTTGTCCCAGAGGGCCACCTGCCAGATGCCAGCTGGAGCTCTCCTTTATGAGGTGTCTGTCCACCCCTGCTAGGAGGTATCTCCCAGTCAGGAGGCATGGGGTCAGGGACCCACTTAAGGAGGCAGTCTGTCCCTTAGCAGAGCTAACATGCTGTGCTGGGAGTTCCACTGATCTCTTCAGAGCTGGCAGGCAGGAATGTTTAAGTCTGCTGAAGCTGTGCCCATGGCCACCCCTTCCCCTAGGTGCTCTGTCCCAGGGAGATGGGAGCTCTATCTATAAGCCCCTGACTGGGGGTGCTGCCTTTCTTTTAGAGATGTCCTGCCCAGAGAGGAGGAATCTAGAGAGGCAATCTGGCTATAGCAGCTTTGCAGCTCTGCGGTGGTCTCCACCCAGTCCGAACTTTCCCATGGCTTTGTATACACTGTGAGGGGAAAACTGCCTACTCAAGCCTAAGAAATGGTGGGCGACCCTACCCCTACCAACCTCAAGTGTCCCAGGTCAACTTCAAACTGCTGTGCTGGAAGCGAGAATTTCAAGCCAGTGGATCTTAGCTTGCTGGGCTCCATCGTGGTGGGATCCACCGAGCAAGACCACTAGGCTCCCTGTCTTCAGCCCCCTTTCCAGGGAGTGAATGGTTCTGTCTTGCTGGCATTCCATGCGACAGTGAGGTATGAAAAAATACTCCTGCAGCTAGCTTGATGTCTGCCAAATGGCCGCCCCGTTTTGCGCTTGATATCCAGGGATCTGGTGGTGTAGGCAGCTGAGGGAATCTCCTGGTTTGTGCATTGCAAAGATGGTGGGAAGAGCATATCTGGGCCAGAATGCACCATTCCTCATGGCACGGTCCCTCAGGGCTTCCCTTGGCTAGGGAAGGGAGTTCCCTAACCCCTTTGGCTTCCTGGGTGAGGCAATGCCCCACCCTGCTTTGGCTTGCCTTCCATGGGCTGCTCCCACTGTCCAACCAGTCCCAGTGAGATGAACTGGGTACCTCAGTTGGAAATGCAGAAATTACCTATCTTCTGCATTGATCTCTGGGATCTGCAGACTGGAGCTGTTCCTATTCAGCCATCTTGCCTGGGAGTCCAAATTTGTGCTCTTTTAACCACCATGATATATGATACTTTTTTACATTGTGGAAGGCCACATGATAAGGAATGTTAATATAGGAAGCTAGCAGAGCACACTGGTCTTTGAAGGCGTTGCCAACCTGTTAAGACAGGTCTGGAATACCTATCCTTGGGATTTTGATTGAGTAAGATGAATAAACTCTTATCTACTTAACCCGGTGAATCAGGACTTTTTGTTATTTACATTCAAATATAATCTTGATGGACCCTTATTAAATTGATGGCACTTCCATAGCAAGTTCTCTTCTTCTTCTTCTTTTTTTTTTTTTTTTGAGACTGAGTCTCGCTCTGTTGTAGAGGCTGGAGTGGCAGTGGCATGATCTCGGCTCACTGCAACCTATGCCTCCTCAGTTCAAGCGATTCTCCTGCCTCAGCCTCCCAAGTAGCTGGGATTACAGGCACATCCAGCTAACTTTTTTTTTTTGTATTTTTAGTAGAGACAGAGTTTCACTCTGTTAGCTACGATGGTCTCGATCCTTATGATCTGCCTGCCTTGTCCTCCCAAAGTGCTGGGATTACAGGTGTGAGCCACTGCACCTGGCCTTCTTTTTATAATTTAATGTGCCTAACACAGTGTTGGCATTCAAGGGTATTAAAAATATCTGATATTGGGTGTTTTCTGGGCATTGCACACTATGTTACTCTCTGTACATATGTTGTTATCTCCCTATATGGCCATTGCAAAACTAAGGGGGAGATAGGCACTATATCCTTTTTACGATTTAGGAAACTTACATTCCATAACACTCAACCTGACCCAAGGCAAAGTTTTCTTGTGATGGTGTTTGATTGATTTCTTTCATTCAGTATCCTGTGCCTCTGATACTCAGGGGCTTCTCCCTTTCTGAAGGAAGAGCATCTAAGTTATTGTTTCCATTAAGTATTATTTTCCTTACTTTAAAGGAAATGATGAATTTAAACAGATAAAACAGCTCACACTAAATGTGTCTGATACCACATAGTTTTCAGTGTATTTGAATTATAGCAATGTGTTAATTACCAATAGCTAAATCAGAAGCTACATCTCTAGGGATGTATGTATTTTTTAAAAAGTTCTCTGGTAATGGAAATTCTTCCTTCTGAAAGCTGAATGAATGATGCTGACAAACATTCCAGAATGTCAGGAAACATGTGGAGTGGGCAATTTTGTTAGGAATCACAAATGATTTTCTACTGTCTATATGTGAATTTATCTCTAATCATAGAGTATTTGCTTTATTGCTAAGTTTTCTATTGTTTTCCAAATAGTGGCATATTTTTTGTGTATTTTATTTGCCTATTAAAATTGAAAAATGATGCATACATTTTCTATTTTAATCAAACCCTATAGGTCAATACTCATTTGATAATATCTCACTTAGCATTTTTCTGGTTTTGGAGTTTAAATTTAGTAATTTATTTAATGACATTACATTTTTACCATGACTCTTATTTTGGATAGTAACAAAAATAAATTCAATTAAAATGTGGAAAATGTCTTATTTTCTCTCTACATTTTCTGTAGGCACTGTTGAAGCATACTCCTCACTGGAATGTGAAGTGACATGGCAGCCAGGCTTCAGTTCTCCAGAAGAAGGAGAATTTAATCTTCATGTCTTAAAAGGAAACATGTTGAAACTAAAATGTGTTGCACATGTAATTATTTTCCTCAAACATGGTTTTTATTTTGAGGGCTATAAATTGATTGGGTGTACACTGGTGTGTATAGTTACCTGTATCTAGGATTAACTCTGAAACCTAAGACTTTCATGCCAACAATAATAGTTTTTGTTAGAGCCTCTATTGAATATATAATATCATCATGGGAACCATTAAAATGACATTATTTTATTAAGAGACAAAAAAAAAAATATATCCAGAGAATATACTTGATGGATTAAAAATGTGAGTCAAGTGAAAGCTGTAATATGTAATTTTACCCTTTTTCTGGTATAATCCAGAAGGCCTTAACTTCATGACTCAGTCACCAAGCATGTATTTTACATGTATACCAAGTTTTCTATCCAGTGTTTTTAGAAATATTAAAGAAGCCAAATGCTCTTTTACCAAATCCCATCTATATTTCTAGGACATGATGATACTCTTACATATTTCAGCTGTGGAAGAGTTTGTAGCCTTAAGAGATGAGAGATTCATCCACTTTTAGTGATGGCAAGTGACAGTAGGGTTTTTCTTCTAAGCCTAAAATAAGTTGGGTCCTACTGTTTTTCATTATGTATAAATTACATTTATTCTTTTAAAAACTTTTATTGGCTGGGCATGGTGGCTCATGCCTGTAATTCCAGCACTTTGGGAGGCCGAGGTGGGTGAATCACCTGAAGTCAGGAGCGTGAGACAAGCCTGGCCAACATGGTAAAACCCCGTATCTACTAAAAGTGCAAAAAAAATTAGCTAGGCATGGTGGCACATGCCTGTGATCCAAGCTACTCAGGAGACTGAGGCAGGAGAATCGCTTGAACCCAGGAGGCGGAGGTTACAGTGAGCCGAGATTGCGCTACTGCACTCCAGTCCAGCCTGGTGACAGGAAAACAAGCAAACAAACAAACAAACAAAAATACCAAAAAACAAAAAACTTTCTATTGAATTATAACGTGCATATGTGTATTATATGTGGAGAAACATGAAGTGATTCATTAAAATATTCATTTGCTTGTCATTCCTTTTAGAAGGGCTGACTGGTCTATTTACTCTTCCGTTAGTTTTGTTTTAAAATTTATTGTTCCGATTACCTGGATAATATTCTTCAAATAAATGTAATTATAAGAATATATTAAAACCTATGATAATAACAAATAATATTTCATAAGTGAAGACAATAGGGTCTGATATAAAGGACACATAATACGAATTTGGAAAACGTGGATTCTAGTTCCTCTTTGGCTACTGTTTGCTTTCCTGAAAAACTGGAGAGGTGGATGACACCAACATCTCCAAAAATCAGTCTGTGATGCACTAGTTCTCTGAGGTGCTTTGTGAGATGAGGAGGGGGATTCCTGACCTTAAGTAATTCTCTGAATCCTCATTTTTAGAAGCCCCATGAGTAGACTTCTAGTAGAAACATGCCTGAAAAATTTCGTTTGGCACCTTCTTTTCCATACTTACGTGATCCTTCAACCCTTTCCTTTTGCACAGCACATAGTAACACCTTGTACATAGTTGTGGCCATGCTCCCTAAGATCCCTTTCAGTGATTAATCTACGTGATTTTTAGTCCTGGATCTACTTTTTTAATAGAATTATCTTACTTCTCTCGCCTTCCCTATTTTGGGAGTATATTGTAAATATTAAATTCATTTCCATTTCTCTTAAGCATTCCGCAAATCTGATAACACTTTATATTTTAAAAGTCACTATGAAGCTGAAAAAAATTAAGTCATATTGTAAAAGTGAAAAATGTATTTTTTATAGCTGCTCTCATTACCTTCCCTCCTTAAACATGAGAAGAGTTGGCTTTACTTTCTTGTTCATAGTAAGGAATTTTTTCAGCTGTAAAGAAACCATACAAGATTGACACATTAAGAACTACATATGTTTATTGAAACATATTTTTACGTGTTTTGTGAAGCTGGCGAATGTTATGCAATCATTGTATGACTTAGACAAAGTACTTAATCTCCCTAAATTTTGGTTTCTTCCACTGTAAAGTGTGATAGTACCATCCATTCATTCATTTAACATTTACTTATTGAACCCCTACACTGTACCAGACCACATATAGTCTTTTTGTATTTAAAGATGAATAACATAAGCATAGCCTAGCTTTCCTCTGGGCACTTTCTGGACTGATAGACGATAGTGGAAATGTAGGTAAAAATTAATTGTATATCTGGTTGATACTAGGTACACAATGATATTATTACTATTATTATTTTATATGTTTACCATCAATATGTAGATATTTTTACCTAAAATATCTAAATTCTAAATATCTAAAGATTTAATTATTATAGCCAAAATATCAAAAAAAATATCTCCTATGATGTTATTACCCCATCCTAACTAGATTATCACAGATTTAGTTTAAATTTTGGAAAATAAAATTATCATACCTTGGGTACTTTTTAATCAAAACTAACATATAAAACCCTATTTGTGATTTATTTTGTATGTTAGAATATATTGAATAAAGAATATAGGAGGATAATTATTTTGTTTTATTTTAGTAGTTATATCTTTGGTTAATATACATTCAAAATTAAAATACTTTATTTCTGTGACCAAAACAACAAACAGTGTATTTTATTTACCATTAATTCAGTTGTATTTTTCCTTTCCTTCTCTCTTTATTAGCCTGATCACAGCAAGGTTGTATTTTTGGAGCCAAGGATATTCTTTGATGAGTGCCCTCAAGGCTTAACAACTTGGAAGGAAGCCATTCTTCAAAATGTAGGACAAAACCATGCTTATTTCAAGGTAATATAGGATGTTGGTAATTTCTTATTTGGATCAGATGACATGATCATAATACTATGAAGTTCATACTTTATTCTTCACTTTTGCTAATTTGTAGATATTTCATATGAAATTTATCTGAGTATAGTTCATCTAGTTTGTCCTCTTAATTTCTTGTAAGAACAGTTTTTCTCACTACCTTCCTTAGCCTCTCTGTTTCTTCTTGTTTCCCTTTTATTCTTTCTGTAATTTGGTTTTATTGAAAAAAAGAGATGTTTAATTTTTTAAATATACATTAAAATGTTACACTCCATATTTAGTTATATGATTTTTCTTTTCATTTTACTCTGTAATCAGGACCATTATTGTAGCACCTGGGACCTAGATGAAGGCTATTCTGGAGAGAGTATGTTTATGGATGTTGCTCCTGATTTAAATGGAAAGAGGAGTAAAGTGGTGATTTTTTTTTTAACTGAAATATGTAGTAAGACCAGCCTCCCTTCCCAGTAATAGTAATAGAGATTAGTGTTTGAGATTTTTCATTCAGGCTTTACATTAATGTGTCATTTTCTGCCCAAATTAAGTCTTTAGCAAAACTGAAAAATGAGGAGACTCTTTTCTACTCTGCTGCTGTAGAATTAATTCTTACCTACATAGTCTATTTGTTCCTTTAGTCCCAAAAATCTCTTGGCCATTTTTGGATGGTAAAAAGGTTTAGATTGGCCTAGGAAAAATCATACAATAAATAATTGGTAAGTTACTTAGAACTTTTCTGAAGATCAAAATAACATCTTAGACATTAGGCTTTCTGTCAAGGAGATAATGAACAAGAGATTACTTCATCATCCTACCTCCTCGCTAACATTATTTTGAGTTTTTAGGATCAGGGAAACAAACCCTCAAAAAATAGTATGTAGAATATTGTCATCTTCTCGAACAGAAATATCATCTTTGTAAGTTTTGCTGTCTTAAAAGCACTCCAGATAATAAACTTCAGCATCGTATCATCCTATTTGAATTGGCTGTTGTCACTACTGAAGGTTCTGTTTTGTGGGATAGGGTTGCAATTTTTTGTTTTAGTCCAAACTATTTGAACCTTTGGTATTTTCAAATACTATTGCAAAATCCTCTCATGTCCTGTACCTGGAGGTCTTCTCTTTAGGTAGTGGCATGGAGGTTTTCCTATGAAAGCTTTGAAACTATAATCTTGGTGAATAATGTAGTATTTCTGCTAATTTTCAATTACAGGTTAATAGTCAGAGTCTGTTGCCTACCATTAATATTACTCCATCAGAAGGAATAATTCCATTTGGGGGAACAGCTGTTCTCAATATCTCTTATAAACCTACTGTGGCAGAAGAGTTTGATACAAAAGCAAAGGTATGTCCATACATAGGAGTTTTTGCACCTTACGTATGTATCTGTGGGTTTGTTGGTTGTTTATCTATAATGGTAGGTATAATGCTACAAAATGGAGTACACATGTTTATTATTAGAAAACTTGTTTTAATTCTTCTATTGGGGATGTTATTTAAAGTTATAGCAGTAAAGAGCAATTTTCTAAATGTATATAATTTTTCTAGAAATTAAGTTAACTTTAAAGAAATGTAGCTTTTGGAGATTAAAAAAAAGCACTTAACTTTATCATCTAATGAAAAATTCATAGCAGAACTTGGAGAGGATTTTCAGAAAATATTTTTGAAGAAAGTTGGTAATGGGAATTTATACTAAGTTGAAATGGATACTTTCCATCAATATGAGGTACTTTCTTATGAAATTACGGTATTTGGCATTTCTGAGTTTTGACAAACCCTAGATAGCCACAGAGAAAAGGGTTATTTTTTTCATATTTAGTTTGGTAGATTAGGGAAAAAATAATCAATTTTGCAATGCTAATTCTAAATAGTTTTAAATAATATGAATTATGTAGAATTTCTATATGATGTTAATATCTATATTTTAGAGCACACATAAAATGTTTTACTGCGTTAGGTTCTGGGAATTATCTAAATAAAAAATATTACCCTGATGCTAGGCAATTCTCTAAGTGATAAATAAAATATGTAAGACCAGTATGTGTAAAACTTAACCATAAAACTCAAAGACTAGAGTGTTCTTGGTCAATTGTATGATGAACTGTTTGTATTTACTCACATTAAAAATAATATATACACTATTATCAGATCAAAATGAATAACTAAGTATATCCTCCATGTTATTCCTGAATGGACCATAACAATACATGATTAAATAATAGGTAATTTAATATAATAAAAACTGATTTCCTAACCCTCAAACAAATCCCTTAAGAATATCTTATTATCGATTGAAGCTCTCGCTGGACGCACGGAGAGGGTGAGTCGGGGAAGCATTTCCAGACGGATCTTAGTTGCCCACAGAACGGGGAAATTCCCAGGTATAAAAGAGACGCGGGACACCAGGCAGAGGTCTCCGCTGGCGTAGCCGGCAGCCGGTGCGGCTCCGGCCCGCGCCAGAGCGCAGAGGCACTCCACAGCGCTCCATACAAAAGCACACTGTTACGGGTGCCCTGTTGAACCGGCAAACTAAGACCCGAGAGGGCTGAACTTGAGACTGAACGGGTCTTGAACTGTGACCCAGCCCAGGAAATCCCAGGGACTCAGCGTTTGGGGGAGCGCAGTGCGACAAACAAAATGGCGATTCCAAACGCTCCCGGTGAATAGGTTTTTTTTTTTAAAGTGCAGCTCCGCGGGGGAGGGGCGTCAGCCATTACCGAGGCAATCAGCCCCTACTGAGGTACACGCCCATTGCTGACGCAGCCTGCCGCTGCTGACGCAGCCTGCGGCTGCCGAGGCAACCCGGTACAACAGAGAGACTCCGCCGCAGGGCGTAGCCCGAGGCAACAGGGCGGAGACCACAGCAGAAGGGCGGAGCCTGCAGGAAAAGGGTGAACCTCACACCAGCAGGGCAGAGCCTCGGCAGGCAAAAAGTGACTAGACTGCCTCCTAGCTGGGCAGGACAGTGAGGCGGACACTCACAAGGAAAGCCCCAACCCCCCCCAGACAGAGCATCTGAGGAAAAAAAAGGGGTTTTCTTACGAGTTAGGTTGCAGCAGAACTAAACATAGCAGCCTAGCAGCCCTGAATGAACAACAGAGCTCACAGCTCAGCACTTGAGCTCCTACAGACTGCCTCCTCAAGCAACTCCCTGACCCCTCTATATCCATAAGACTGACATTCGGCAGACATCATCCTGGGACAAAGATAGCAGAAAAAGAAACTGGTAGCATCCCTCGCTGTTCCGCAGCCACTACAGGTGCACCCCAGACAAGCAGGGCCTGGAGAGGACCTCAGCGGTCATACAGCGAAGGGGCTAGACTGGTAGAAGGAAAACCAAGTAACAGAAATACTCCATCATCAACAATCTGGGTGTCCACTCAGATATCCAATCAAAAAGTCAGTAACTACACAGACGACAGGTGGATAAATCCACAAAGATGGGAAGAAACCAGCGCAAAAAGGAGGAAAACACCCGAAACCAGAACACCTTGCCACCTAGAGAGGACCAAAACTCCTCACCAGCAAGGGAACAAAGCTGGACGGAGAATGACTGTGACGAAATGACCGAATTAGACTTCAGAAGGTGGATAATGAGAAACTTTTGTGAGCTAAAAGAACATGTTTTAAATCAACGTAAAGAAACTAAGAACCTTGAAAAAAGATTTGAGGAAATGATAACAAGAATGGATACCTTAGAGAGGAATATGAATGAATTAAAGGAGCTGAAAAACACAATACGAGAACTTCGCGAAACATGCACAAGTTTCAATAGCCGAATTGACCAAGCAGAAGAAAGAATATCTGAAGTCGAGGATCAACTCAATGAAATAAAACGAGAAACCAAGATCAGAGAAAAATGCGCAAAAAGGAATGAACAAAGTCTCCAAGAGTGGGACTATGTGAAGATACCTAACCTACGTTTGATAGGCGTACCAGAATGTGATGAAGAGAATGAATCCAAGCTGGAAAATACTCTGCAGGACATTATCCAGGAAAATTTCCCCCACCTAGCAAGACAGGCCAACACTCAAATGCAGGAAATACAGAGAACACCACAGAGATATTCCGCAAGAAGAGAAACCCCAAGGCACATAATCGTCAGATTCAACAAGGTTGAAATAAAGGAGAAAATACTAAGGGCAGCCAGAGAGAACGGTAGGGTCACCCACAAAGGGAAGCCCATCAGACTCACAGCAGATCTCTCGGCAGAAACTCTACAAGCCAGAAGAGAGTGGGGGCCAATATTCAACATTCTTAAAGAAAAGAACTTTCAACCCAGAATTTCATATCCAGCCAAACTGAGTTTCAGAAGCGAAGGAAAAATAAAATCCTTTGCGAACAAGCAAGCACTCAGAGATTTTGTCACCACCAGCCCTGCTTTACAAGAGCTCCTGAAAGAGGCACTACACATAGAAAGGAACAACCAGTACCAGCCATTCCAAAATCACACTAAATGCTAAAGAGCATCAACATAATGAAGAATCTACAACAACTAACGGGCAAAACAGCCAGCTAGCATCAAAATGGCAGTGTCAAACTCACACATAACAATATTAACCCTAAATGTAAATGGACTAAATGCACCAATCAAAAGACACAGACTGGCAAATTGGATAAAAAGCCAAAACCCAGCAGTGTGCTGTATCCAGGAAACCCATCTCACATGCAAGGATACACAAAGGCTCAAAATAAAGGGATGGAGGAAGATTTACCAAGCAAATGGAGAGCAAAAGAAAGCAGGAGTTGCAATCCTCATCTCTGATAAAATAGACTTTAAAGCAACAAAGATCAAAAGAGACAAAGAAGGCCATTACATAATGGTAAAAGGATCGATACAACAAGAAGAGCTAACGATCCTAATCATATATGGACCCAATACAGGAGCACCCAGATACATAAGGCAAGTTCTTAACGACTTACAAAGAGACTTGATTTTTTGGAGGGTTTTTCGTGTCTCAATCTCCTTCAGTTCAGCTCTGATCTTAGTTATTTCTTGTCTTCTGCTGGGTTTTGAGTTTTTTTGATCTTGCTCCTCTAGCTCTTTCAATTTTGACGATAGGGTGTCAATTTTGGATCTCTCCATTCTTCTCATATGGGCACTTATTGCTATATACTTTCCTCTAGAGACTGCTTTAAATGTGTCCCAGAGATTCTGGCATGTTGTGTCTTCGTTCTCATTGGTTTCGATAATAGTGGGAGACTTTAACACTCCGCTGTCAATATTAGACAGATCAACCAGACAGAAAATCAACAAGGATATCCAGGGCTTGAACTCAGACCTGGAGCAAGCAAACCTGATAGACATTTACAGAACTCTCCACCCCAAATCCACAGAATATACATTCTTCTCAGCACCACATCATACCTACTCTAAAATTGACCACATAATTGGAAGTAAGGCACTGCTCAGCAAATGCAAAACAACTGAAATCATAACAAACAGCCTCTCAGACCATAGTGCAATCAAGTTAGAACTCAGAATTCAGAAACCAACCCAGAACCGCACAGCTTCATGGAAACTGAACAATGGGCTCCTGAATGTTGACTGGATAAACAACGAAATGAAGGCAGAAATAAAGAAGTTCTTCGAAACCAATGAGAACGAAGACACAACATGCCAGAATCTCTGGGACACATTTAAAGCAGTCTCTAGAGGAAAGTACATAGCAATAAGTGCCCATATGAGAAGAATGGAGAGATCCAAAATTGACACCCTATCGTCAAAATTGAAAGAGCTAGAGGAGCAAGATCAAAAAAACTCAAAACCCAGCAGAAGACAAGAAATAACTAAGATCAGAGCTGAACTGAAGGAGATTGAGACACGAAAAACCCTCCAAAAAATCAATAAATCCAAGAGCTGGTTTTTTGAAAAGATCAACAAAATAGACAGACCACTAGCCAGATTGATTAAAAAGAAAAGAGAGAACAACCAAATAGATGCAATAAAAAATGATAAAGGGGAAATCACCACAGATTCCACAGAAATTCAAACCATCATCAGAGAATATTACAAACAACTATATGCGCATAAACTAGTAAACCTGGAAGAAATGGATAAATTCCTGGATTTCTGTGTCCTCCCAAGCCTAAACCAGGAGGAAGCTGAAACTATGAATAGACCAATAACAAGGGCAGAAGTCGAGGCAGCAATTAAGAGCCTACCACACAAAAAAAGCCCAGGTCCAGACGGGTTCACAGCCGAATTCTACCAGACACACAAAGAGGAGCTGGTACCATTTCTTCTGAAACTATTCCAAATAATCCAAAAAGAAGGAATCCTACCCAAATCATTCTACGAGACCAATATCATCCTGATACCAAAACCCGGCAGAGACCCAACAA